TTTAAAAAGTTCAGTGCAATGTAGATTAAAAATATGGGTACCAAATTAAAGAGGAAATTTCTTTAGGATTTAAAATAATAAAAATTGCTTGGATTCACAATGACGAATAGGTTATTTTTTAAGTTGATAAAGTTAGAAGTACGAGTTTATATCCGTCCTTAACATATAATTTTTTCAAAAACAAATATTGCGAAACTTCAAGGATAAAATTTTAAAAAGACATTTTCAATACTACAGTTATACAGCAACAAATTTAATCTGTTAAAATTCTTCAGAATTTCCTCACATTTCACTGATTTTTTTTTTTTTAATAAATTTTGATTTACCATTCCTAATACATAGGTATGTACATATGTATATGGGCGATTCCCCGTCGCGGGTTGGACATTTGTTTGTACAGAAAAATTTTCTTTCTTGTTAAAATTTAAGTATAAAGTACTCATACATTTTAATAAAGCTACACCTAATTGACTATTATAAGTGTTATTACAAAATACGAAAAAAATTCCAGCTTGTATATGGAAAAAAATCTGATTTATTTCTTCTGTCACGGGTGGGAGAAAAAAAAGAACTTGCTTTTTGGATATATTTTCCGGAAACTCTGCGAATTAATTTCACTTTTCTGTTTGAACTTGAACCAGGAACACAAACAAAGCAAAAACTACAAAAAAATCATGGCTTTATTATACAAAAAATCCGAAATTCCTCTGTCACGGGTGGGACAACGTTTGTCACGGGTAGGACACCTACGAATTTTTATATGAAAAGGAGTTTTCAGTGTGATCCATATGTAAAGATTAGTTATTAAAAAATATAAGAAGCCAAGTAGGGGTTAAATTCACTCACATTTTATCTTAGGATGGTATGGCGCCTTTTATATAGAAGAAAATGCTTAGCACTGTCAGTCAAAAAAATTATTAAAAATGAACGCGATTTCCTAGTGTCTTGAAATTTTCACTTTTACCTACTTAAATTTAATGGGCTACAAAACTGTATACCTAAAAATTCTAAACAAAAAGTTTAAAATTTTTGGGCGTTGGGGTTAAAGCTTGTTGAATTTTTATAATTTTCGTAAGAAGTTTGAAATGTAGATTTTGGTGGTTCCGGTTAGGTAATGTGCTAGACTTTTATAAAAAAAAATATAAACATTAGATTAACAAAATAAAAAACCAAAACTGGTCAAAATATTACTTAACTTAATCAGCTGACCACAAGGGTATATAGATAATGGACGAGTCCGCGCACGCCCGCAGGTAATAAAAATGCATTTAAAGATCTAATTTGTTACTTTTTGGTTGTTTCAAGATTTTTACAAATGTCTTATCCACATGTTTGTAAGTTTCATAAAGAAAATTGTTTTTGCACTGGAATCTCCCATATGTAAATACACTCGGGTGCATAAATATAAATCACCTACGAGTGGGCTAGTGTTGCTTATGGCGCTCCTGTTTTTGATGACAGTGTATCGGTGTTTACCTCGTAACGAGCACCGTTTGCAGACTACAACGTTGCACATTAAAAGCGATAACAACCAGCCACCACAACGCTCTCCTTTAATGTTCTACTCAAAAAATAGTCCTTTAAATGTAAGTTGGCATGAGTGTCGTATGCAAGATAAATTCAAATTGACATATTTATTTCACAAAAAGGTTCACTTGGAAGCGTAAATTTATCGTTTT